ATCACCCCCCAGGGGGGATGGCCACGCCGCAATCCCTTCTCCTCCATTCTCCTCTCGGGATCTTGGGCACGCACGCACACGCGCCCAGCGTGAGTTTAAGCCACTGGGTCCGGGACTCGAACCGCGGTCGACTACATGGGAATCCAGTGACATAGCCATTACGCTAACTGCTGGTCCCTTATTTAGGTTCTTGACAAAAAATTTAGAACACCAATTTGTGAGGATAAACTCCATTTACAAGGCCAAAGACACATCACAGGTAGCCCTGGAGCTGAGGAATAGCTTTGATTTTGGTAAAATTTGTGAGCCCACAGCTTTTTGATCAACCTTGCACTACTCTGAAATCTCATATTTCTCCTTCCCTGTGTCGAAGAGCTCACCTTCCTGGTGTCTGGGCTTTTGCAGTTTCTTTTTCTTGAAGTAAGCATCAATAAGGTGCTTTGGGATTTTTAGTTTGCTGATATCAATTTTCATGGAAGTGGTGATGACAAATTTCTGGTGTGTTCTACGCAGTGGAACTCAATTGAGAACCAGCGGTCCAGTTACAAGTAGCAAGCCACTATTCAGCTGCTTTGGGAAAACCATTCTCTTGACTCTGTGGCATACAGTGAGGATGTGGCTCGCAGCTTTCTCCCATGCTGACAGGATTTTTTGTCGTGGCTCAACAGCTTTCGAGGCACATCCTCAGTAGGATAATACCTAGGCATTTTGTGAAGTTTAACCTCTGAGTACCACCATTCTTGTCTCCACCAACTGGTTTTGTGACAGTCATAAGAATCTTCTCCTCTTTTTTCTTTTCAATCCTGGGTTTAACGGCTGAGTATCTCCTCTTGTACGTGGCCTTCCTGGAATATATGGCAGACGGGGAGTATCTGCCGATGCCCAGGACTAGGATAGGGTACCCGGTGCAATGGGGTTTCTCCTTCTTGGGCTTTTTAGCCTTGGGATTACCCTTTTTAACCTTGCCACTGGTATCAGCCTTCTTGGCTTCAGTTTTTTTCTTCCTGGTATCCTGCTTCGCAGCTTTTCCACCTGCTATCTTGTATAGTGGGAAAGAGGCAGAATCTTCATTTTTTTAATACTCAACCTAGTGAAGAGCTGGCAGTTGGCATGGTGGTTAAGGTGCTGGACTCCCAACTTGGTCAACTGTGGTTCGAGTCCCACTCCTGGCAGCCTGCTTTCTCACATTCTCTCTCTCTCTCTCTGGTCAAATAAAAAAAATTATAATAATAAATAAAATAATACTTAAAAAATAATCTAGTGATTCTGATATACAGCCAATTTGAAATCTACTGTATTTGTTATCTCTCTACCTTCATGGGTATGGATAGACAGGTAGGTAGGGAGCTAACTAGCTAGACAGACAGACAGACCGACATGTTGCCACTGTGTGAGTTAACATCTTATAGACTCATCTGTCTTCAGAAGATGAGTCGTGTATATGCCTCCTACTCTCCACCAACAGCCTCAATAGTAACGTCATCTGGAAGCTGGTTTGCAATACAGAATATCTGTTTCTGAATACAAACAATCCAACAATTTTAAAATTGAGGCATTTATTGTCTTACTTTCTGAGAAAGAAAACATCCATATCTTAATCAACTCTAACCAGTTCTTTATCAAATATAACAAAGCCCTACCTCTTGTTTTGGTAACATGGGTTCCATGGTAAAGCCATCCACGTTGTGAAATGCAAGCTTTTTTAGGAGAAGTGCATATGACAAATGAAGGAACACAGAGAGGTCTTGATAATAGGCTCTCGGGACCAGGAGATGACTTAATGGTTATGTCACTGGACTCCCACATAGTTGACCACGGTTTGAGTCCTGGACCTGGTGACTTGAAACTCATACAGGGCTTGTGTGCATGCGTATCCAAGATCCCGAGAGGAGAATGAAGGAGAAGGGATTGCGGTATGGCCATCCCCTCTGGGGAGTGGTTTCTCACTTTCTGTCTCTATGTCTCTCTGGTGAGCACACACATCCTTTAGCAAAAATCTCTGAAAAAAAAAAAAGGCTCTTGGGAACAACAAATGGCATGGTATAGTGGTTACATTAGAGGACTTGGCAGTTTAAAACTCATGCCAGGCGCGTGTGCATGAGTGCCCAAGATCCCGAGAGGAGAATGAAGGAGAAGGGATTGCGGTATGGCCATCCCCTCTGGGGAGTGGTTTCTCACTTTCTGTCTCTCTGTCTCTGTGGTGAGCACATGCACTCTATAGCAAAAATCTCTCTATCAAAAAAAAAAAAATTAAAAAAAAACCCTCTCTGTTAAAACACACACACACACACACACACACACACACACACACACAATAATAGGCTCTCAAGCTCTCTTTTCCTAAATAGGAAATACCTAGTACCATGAAAGTCAGTCTTTAGTATATCTGCATTACAACTTCATCCTTCAGCTTTTTTTCTTTAAGTAAAGGAAGAATCTCAGTAAATTCTTAAGACAATAATACATTTATTAAATGTTGAAAATGAAGAAACTTTGCCCTCTAGTGACAGAATATGGTTACATCTTTAGTATCACATAAGAGAGTCATTATTCAGTATCACATTAGAGGGTGATTTCTTTCCTTCTTTTTTTTTGTTTCTTTCTTTTCCTTCCTTTCTTTCTTCCCTTCATTTCCTTTCTTTCTTTTTCTCTTTCTTTCTTTCTT